GCGGCGCGGCCGGGCAGGCGTCGGGCAGCTTGGCGCCGTCCTGCGCGTCCTCCTTCCCCGCCGGGGAGTACTGCGCGCCCTCGGGCGCGGGGCCGTCACTCGGGGTCAGCAGCGGCGGCTTGTGCGGGTTGACTTTGTTGAGCCATTTGTCCAGCTGCCACTTGTTGGAGGATGCCGGTTCGGCCTGGAAGCAGAGAAGCCCGAGACCCGAACGGCTTTCACCAGACTCACCCCGACGCGCCCGGCCGGCCTCCTCCGGCCCGTCTCCGCGTGCGGGCGCGAAAACGCACGGCCGATGCAGGCGGGGCAGGGAGGCCTAGCTGCGTGCCGCAGCCCTCCTGCCCCTGGCACCGATGTCCCATCAGAAGCGCCAAAAAATGAGAGGTGGTACTGGGTTCTACACGTTTGAGATTCCATGATATTTAACTGGGGAAGAATAGACCTTAAAGTACCCCGCCCCTTTGGTGAGATTTAACACTTTGCGGGACATCTGAGAACTTACAATCCCAAAGAGCACATAATTTATGTGGTGAAGACGAGCATGGTGTAGTTATTTAACAGGAGAAGCAATGCTTTGGCTGGCTTAGCACCAGAGAACTCCTTTCCCACAGGTTGTGTGTGTGCGTGCGTGCGTGTCCTGTGCACTTTGGCAGGCCCGCTTGGTTCCGGTATCCTGAACCTGCTTCTGTCATACTCAGCCAAAACTGCTCAGACACCAGGTGATGGTGGCACCCTTCTGGGAAGCAGGGCTGGTAACCTAGAGCACACCATGGATGTCACAGGGCTTAAACTCTGGCCCGAAGATGAGCCGGGGGGGATGGTGCCAATGAACACCTGGAACAGGGGCAGGAAATGTACGGATGCGTCCTGCCCACCTTGGGAGAGATCCATAGTTCTGAGTTAAGTTTCTAAAGATTTATGTTCAATAAAGCTTGAGAACCAAGACTCCTAATAAAAGTCAGTTTTCACAGCATTAGGATTATTAGTTGGTACCTAACTGGGCTGAGAAGTGTGGAACGTTAGCCAGGGCACCTGCAGTTTGTCAGTCCATGTGAGCTGGAAGAAACATTCAGGAGGAAGAGCTGAGGTATTTTTCCTTTTGTCTGCCTCTCCCCTCCCCCCGGTTTATACACTGATGGCTGTGCCTGAGACACCAGGGTCCTGGCTGGGCCTACAGGAGTCAGGGGCTTAGCTCAGGGAAATGGGGAGCCCCTGATGGGATGAGGGAAGGGCTGAGAGCCATAGGCACTGGACACATGGAGTGTAGGGACCCGCCACTCTGAGCTGAGGGTAGGGGCTGTGGACATCTGTGCAGCCATTTGTGATGAGACTGACTATACTTGAGGGAAGACCAGCACAGACTGTCCAGTGACTTGGGGCGGGCAGGAAAAGTTCAATGGAGGCCAGAAAGAGGATGTAAGGTGCTTCCCCTGGGGGAGGGTCAAGGATGGGATAGCTTTATTTTGAAACACAGGTGTGGAAAGGGAGATCCTCACCTCAATGCCCTGACAATGAGTCTTTTTTTTCTTTTTTGAAACATCTCACTATTTAGATCATGATGGCCTTGAACTCACAATGTAGCCCAAACTAGCCTCAAACTCATGGAGATCCTCCTGCCTCAGCTTCCCAAGTGCTGGGAATATATGTGTGCACTCTCACACCCCCAAAGGAGTCTGGTTTTTTGATTTTTTTGCTTTGTTTTCATGTCATCAAAATCTAGAACAAGATGCAAAGGAACAAAAAGATGTATTGCTAGTGTCTCCCTTACCAGAATGCTTAGAATGCAAAGAGTTTCGGGTTTAAAAAATTTTTGGAATATTTGCACATATATAATGAGATGACACGGATGGGGCCAAAGTCTAGACACAAAATTCACTTATGTTTCGTACAGACCTTGCACACCTCACCTGAAGGTAACTTTATACACTATTTGTAATGATTTTGTGTGTGGAACAAGGCCTCACAGTGTGGAATTTTCTACTTGTGGCCTTGTATCAGTGCTCAAAAAGTTTTGGATTTTGGAGAACTTCAGGTTTCAGGGTTTTGGATGAGGGAGGCTTAGCCTGTATCACCTTTGCACATTTAAACTGTTAGATGCAAATTCTTGCTTTATTTTGGCTTCTCCAGAGAAAGACACTGCATCAGAGGAAGCAGGACAGTGACACAGACAGCTGCTTGCCCAAGGCGGTGACCCTCTTCTTGCCTGAGATTAGCTGAAAGTGACTGAAAGCTAAGTTGGTGGCTTCTAATTTTGTGTCGCCTGCCTCCACTTTTCCCAGGTGTGACCCCCGGAGATCAAGGCCTTCTGTTCAGCACCAGCTTCCCCAGGTGAGTGGAACCCAGTGCTGACTGGAGAGAAGGGCCCTTGCGTGGAAAGATGCACTTATCAGAGAGGACTTGCACGCCTGGGGCACAGCCAGCACTCAGCCACCCACTGCTGGGTTTAACGCCAGCTCTCCCCACTCCAGAGCCTGCTATGGCTCACATCTTTCATGGGAGAAATGAAGGAAGATAATGTGGAGCTCAACAGAGCCGCATATGGGAAGAGTCTCACGGAAACTTCCAGGTGGGAGCATTACTGGTGAAGAGCAGAATTTAATACGTTTAGTACGGTCCTGTTGCCTGATGTGCTTTAGGGTCATTTTTTCCCTGCACTTCACAGCTGAACAAATCAGTCTGAAGTACCATTTTCAACACATCACTAAATCACACTCCCTTTCCCAAGGATCTACAATAACCCCCTATCACCTCTCCAGTGAAACCTAAATCTCCTCTACTGACACTCAAGGGCCATCCTCTGGCGATCATTTTTCATTGCCGGGACGCCTGTAATATGCCTCCGACTTTACACATGTTATCTATTTGAATCTTTACAGATAAGAAATATTATCTCCCCTGATTTGTAGATGAGGCTCAGAGAGGTTAAGTGACACGTCCACAGATGCAGTGCTCCTAGGCTCCACCATGACTAACCTGTGCTTACTTAGACGTAGAGACCAGCTTCTGTTCAGGGTTGCCCCCTGTGATGCTTAATCTTGACCATCAACTTGACCGTCATCTCCTAGGGAGATGTCCAGGAGATCAGTCAAGCCTGCTGGCAGGTGTATTTGGGTGGGTCACGGAGGTGTGACCTTGGGGACCATATCTGGTTCCTGAGCCCTTTCTTTCTGGCTCTTCCTTGCTGTCTGATTCCTGGATGTCATCAGGTAAAGCAGCTTTGCTCCACCGGGATGTTTCTGCCCTGGAGCCAGCTAACTATGGCCTGAAACCTCTGAAATCCTGGGCCAAAATAGACTTCTCTTCTTTAAATTGTGGGTGTCAGGTGTCACGTACCACGGACAAAAAGCCAACATAGAAAATTGGCACCAGAGATGTGAAGTTGTTGCTGTAAGTATGCCTGACCTTGTGGTTTGGGACGGGTTTGTGGGAGGACTTTGGAAAGGTTTGGAGATGTGGGCTAGAGAAGCCCTAGAATGATGTAAGCAGTCTGATGGGCAATGCTGGTTGGAGCCCAGAATGCTGATAGGAATGTTGACAGTAAAGGCCAGGCTCAGGAGGTTTCAGATACAATAAGGGAGTAAACTAGAGGCCACATGAATCTCATTCTGGCAAAGAATCTATGTTTTGTCCATGCCTGAAAACTTTGTGTGAGGCTAACATATTCTCCTTACTCCCAATACTTTCTAGTGGGAAAGGTGGACCCTTTCCTTTGAGATATGTTCGCCTTTAAACTAGAATGATAGCCCAAGACTTGATTTTTGAGTGCTCCAAACAACACCTGTTGCCTTCTGTTACACTCAATAGTAGAATCTTCTGATGTTCCTGTTTATCTCATGTGCATGTCTCTGAGTCTTCAGCAAAGCCCAGCTCTTTCTTCAGGCCAAGGCTCTGTTCCCTTCAGGGTATCCCTGCTTGGTTAGGAGGCCCATTGCTGTGATGCTGCTCATATCGAGTGAGCTGTCACTGTTCCCCACAACCGTCACACAGATTAGGCAGGGAAGCACTAGCGGTCCTTCTGGGGAGAAGATAGTTGTGGCCAAGGAGGCTGAAATGATAGAGTTAAGCGGTGATACAGAAGGGAACCCAGGCCTCAGGCTCTAGCTCACCAGCATGCCCCAGTGAGGACAATCCCCTCCTGGAACGTTTGCTGGGGTTTGTGCCTAGTGTTGTCGTTTCTTGGCTCACTGCTTTATATGTTCAGCCACAACTTTGTTCCCTGATTAATTTTCCCTCTGATTCATGCACAAGCTCTCTTCCATGTCCCTCCTTCATCTGTACCCGTCACAGAACCCAGTGCCATGCACCCCAGAGGCACCTAATTAATGGGAGGCGTGTTGCCTCTATGAGCAATGTGCATCATATTTCTGTTCTTTTTTTTTGTGGTGCTGGAGATCGAACCCAGGGTCTTGTGCATGCAGGGCGGGAGCATTACCACTGAGCCACATCTGCAGCCCCTTCTGCTCATTTTTAAGAAAGCCCTGCGGAAGCACTTCACAGAATGTGCTTTTAATTCATGTATTCCAAGAGGGAAGGTTGCTGTGGTCAGATCCACTTGGCTGAGGCCACAACGGAAAGCATGGTTTGCGTGAGCAATATTTAGGACTGGGTGATGCCCTATGTAAAGAAATGGAGTCAACTTTATCCCAGGACTCAAAATGATGCGACCAGGCTTTATTTATTTTTAATGACTTGGGCTACCCTGGGCGAGGGAGTCCCATGCACTGGTGTCAGCGCACCAGCGGAATGGGGCGAGAGGGTGCGCAAGGCCAGGAAAGCTCATGAGATAAAAGGGGTGAGGCCAAGAATAGCTAAGCATCGCAGAGCCTGGGGAGGGGATGTGCAGGTGTTAACCTTGGGGAAATAGTAAAAGAAACTTGCTTTTATTCCAACAACACATCGCTTCCCAGCATTAAGGAGTAAGGCGCGGGGTGGTTAACATCACCGCCCGCTCCGCATTCGCTCTGCAGAGAGAAGCAAGGAAGTGGAATCCTTGCCGGGCCTTGGGGAGCTCAAACTTCTAGGCTGCTTTAGCTGACCGGTGCGCTCTGTCCCTAGCCAACCTGTGCTCTCTGACAGCTACTGCAAGAAACAGGCAAGTGTCTTCTTCCATCACCCGGGGGCACACGGTTCTGTAAGCTTCCCAATGATCACAGTGCCTTCAGAAAGAACTTGCGGAAAGTGCTTTATCACTGTACTGCTTTCCGGCAAGATGAGGTTGCAGCCCATTCTGGGCCTTCAGTGTGAGAAGAAGACTCAACGCTTGTGAATTTAACTTGCAGCGCACAACTGGAGCCTGGACAGGTTGAGCTTCACAGACACTAACCCTTTCTATTGACTGTCCCTGAGGTGTAGCTATTTACTATAACTAAATCTTCTGCAATTTCTCAACAAACTGTAGCATAAGACAGACTTAATAAAATTGAGCTTGTCTTTATTCTGTTGAACTCCTGTATTTTTCTGTTTCAAATTATCCTTGTTAGATGTTACCTCTATGAAGACAGGGGCACGTTCTGTCCTATAATGGCTTGTTCCAGAGACCCACGCTGTGTCCGCTACCCAATAGGTATTGATTCAATGAATGCGGAATGAGTGAATGAATGAATGAAATTAGGAGAGAGGAATAAACGTTTGGATCCTGGGAGAAGCCAGAGTTAAAATAAGCTGTAAGGCTTTTACAGGCTCATGTTGCTCAGCACTTTCACCTCGTGTGGGTGGGTGGGCAGATTCAGATAGACGGACAGAGAGACAAGAACTTCATAGAAGGAGAGAGAATGATGATGTGACTTATGCCAAGATGAATGCAGAGTTTGACTATAGCGTAGAAAGGTACCACACAGGAAGGCAGGATGGTGCGAAATAAAACAAAACATCTCCAGGGAAAGGAAGAGATGAAACATCACCACGTTGTCTCTGCTTCAGGTGTGACACCCTCTAGGGCGACCCTGTAAGTCAGTTACTCCCTGTCATGATTGGCGTTGCATGAGGTTTTGATTTCATGTCAGAACCTACTTAAGTTTCTCTTTGGTACCGGGAATCGAACTCAGGACCTCGTGCTTGCCAGGCAGGCACTGTGCCGCTGGTACCACACACACACACAAACTACCAGTCAGAACCTACTTAGGAATCTGCACCCCAAAATAGTATAGAGGATTGTAAGCAAAAAATTAAACCCCACCATCCTGTAAGGAACCACAGCTCCAGAGACTTGAGAGAAGTTTGTCCCCGGCCTTTACCCAGGAGTCTTTGTGCTCTGAGTTACTATTTAATTCCCCCTTTCAACTTTCAGGTAGAAAGCAAAGGTTTTTATTGGTGCCTTGTAATAGTTTTACACGAGCCACCTAAATCTTCCCCCTAGATACTGATCATAGCTGTAAAAGGTTTCATTATTATTTGTAGGTGGATGCTAATTTTCCCCTTTATATTTTCACAAAGAAAACGCAGTTAAGCAGGTTTTGTTAATATTTATGGGCCCTGTCCTTCTGATCCACGACAAGCTGTGAAAAGGTGGGATTCTAAGCATGTCTAATCCATAAAACTCCCTTCCTGTGATTTATGTGTGGTCACACTTCCCAGGTGGTGCACTTCCCTGTCTGGTTACTGCCTCACTGACCCTCAGGGAAACTCTTCCCATAGGTTATTTCCTGTTAGTGATTTTTATAGCGCGCTTGGAAATTTCTGGAAGTCACATATTTTTGGACAGTGAAAGATGATGCTTTGGACTTCAAAGGAAGCAGAGTCATTAGGGCACTATGAGGAAGGGTCACAGTGGAGAAAATATGGAGCCCCAACTCTCAAAGGCTCCTCTGTCTTGTCTGAGGTTGGGGGTGCAGGAGGTAAGGAGGCAGGGGGATGAGGCCAGAACTGGGGACTCCCTGGCCTCAAGCCCAGAGGGCGGGTGCTGCGCTTACCTCGGGGCTGGAGTAGTGGGGTGGCTTGCTGCCCTCGCTCTCGCTGGAGCTGCTCTCAGTCTCTGAGTCGGATCCCGAGCTGCTCTCTGAGTCGCTGGAAGAGCTGCTACTGCTGCTGCTGCTGCCGCTGCTGCTGCCCTTGCTGGACGGCACGGAACTCCTGCAGTTGGTCTGCTGGACCACGGTGCTGCCAGGCGGGAAGGGAAGGGAAGCCAAGTGAGCAAACAGGAAGGCACCCGCAGGCTGCCACCGGGCGAAGGGAAGGGGAGGCGCAAACCGCGCATCCGTCAGCCAGGACCTGGACTCAGGCAGCGGTTGGTCATCGAGATCAAAGGCAGCTTGATGGTTGAGCAAAACGAACCAGACACAGAGATAAAACAGGATGGAAGCTGGTTCTCCTCGGGAGCTGGGCACCCGTTCTAAGGTGTGGGGTGGCCACTTTAGAAGGGAGGGTGGTGCTGAATCCAAGTGGCTCTTTCTGGGAACGGGTTTTCACCTGCATCCCCTAATCCAGCTACCTACACAAATGCGAGAAATCCAGAAAGCTGGAAATTGCGTGCAAAGCGTCAAACTGACTGTTTGCTTTACTTTTGCCCTGGAGGAAAATATGGCCTGATGGCTGTCAGGAAGAGACGGCTTTCATGCCTGCTGGAAGGGTCCACACTCTGGGGCTGTCAGAATTCAAGCCTTCCTTCCCTCCTTTTTCTGTACGCCCGCGGAGTCTCGCACTGTGCTCATCCCCGGAGCTGCCCTTGTGTCGAGAGAAGCTTTCTTTTGAATCTTCAGTAAAGAACTATGGATCTCTTACGGATGCACTTTTATACATTCCAGACTTTAAAAGGCACATTGACACTTGGTGTTTATATCCACGCTGAAATTTGCCTCGAATTCCTTTCATAACTCAGAAACAACAGAAAAACCAATCAGTGCTTTCCAAGGGTAATGCACTAACCACAAAAAAGTCAAATAGCACACAGTCACCCGAAGAGCATTTAAGTCAAAGAGAAAAATCCGAGTACTCACATTATTTTCAACATCTTCCAACTCCTTTATTAACTGAAATGCAACACACTTGAAAGTGTTCTTTTGAGGCCAAGCGCTAAACCCAAAAAGTGCTGGTCACTTTTTTATGTAGACTCAGCAAAAAACCTACATCATTTTCCATGTGGCCACAGCTTCCACAAGGCTGAACGTCAGAGAGAGGCAGGGCTCATTAGGGTTTATGGTTTCGAGTGCAAAGCAGCCGCACAAGGTAAAGGACCCCTTTCACCCATCCTTTAAATCTCTGACAAATGCTTTGCCCAAGGACAGACTCTCGTAAATCCCTGGCATGGGGGCTGGGAGGAGGGCAATCCTCATTAGAGCCTTGCTTCTCTTATGAAAACCACAAGACAAAAAACGATCTTGTAGGAACTCTGACAGGAAAAGCGCTTTTCTGAATGGCGGTTTTCGTCTCTTCCTACCAGTGTCACGGTCCATACTCAGTGCCTGCCAGGCCCTCGCTCTGCCTGAGCGGCAGCGATTTCTTCCCCAGCCTGTCTGTCATTTGAGTTAGGTATAGAGGGAGGAATCCAAGATCTTGAGATAGAAGGGGAAGTTAGTACTCCAGGGACTGTGATATTTCTTTTCTTCTCTTATGAAGGAAAATCCATCTTCCTGTTGGCTGAATGGAGACTGCTACTATCAATGGAGTAATAATAATCATAATAAAGTATTGGGTTCGGGCCAAATGTGAACACTTGGGAATCCATGTTAATAGTTTGTTGGGTAGCCCCAAAACACAAGGAGGCAAAACAATACACAGCCCAACAACTTTCTTGTTAAAAGGATGGTGGGTACAGATACCTAAGGAAGAGATGCCATTCTGTGCTACACTCTGGGATGACATTTGCTGAAGACCAGGAAAATAAGACAGACAAGGAACATTTTGATTGGTTTTACAAAATGATGGTCGACAGTTTTGATTGGTATATTCTCCCTGTCTATATTCAAACAAGGAACATGTCAAGCTGGTTCTGTGTGTGCCTGGGTGGAGACAGCAATTGTGTGTGTGTGTGTGTGTGTGTGTGTGTGTGTGTGTGTGTGTGTACACAAAGTAAGTAACTGTCTTTTAAAAACTAGTACTTTAATTTCTGGGGAAAATGTCCCCTGAACAATTACCATGCTGCTTTCCTTTAACGATTGCTGTTTTATAATAATGAGGTACCCCGGGCCAAGGGGACCTGAATTATATTGACAGAAATGCCTTATTCGCCTGTTTTTCTCCCTTAAATTAGGAAACTGACTTAAAATGACAGTTTTACTGGCATAACTGTTATTTGTGTTTAAAATAGCTGAGAGAGCCAGGAATTGAGATATTTCTCCATGCTGTGTTTGTGAGGGTTGAGAGGCTCACAGTATTTCTGGGGTTAGTGCTGAAAATACAGACAGTCCCGACTTCTGATGATTTCACTTCCGATTTCTCAACTTTATGAAGGTGTGAAAGCAATATGCATGCATTACAGGCAAGGCAGATTTTGAATTTGAATCTTTTTCTGAGCTACTGATACGCAGTCCACTTCTCTCTGGCCAGCTCACGGTCAGCCATGTGATCACAGTGTGTTGAGATCTTGGTAGGTTATGTGCACTGAATGTTGCTTTTCTTTCCTTCCTTCCTTCCTTCCTTCCTTCCTTCCTTCCTTCCTTCCTTCCTTCCTTCCTTTCTTTTTTTTTGCTTTCTTTCCTTCTTTCCCCCTCCTTCCTTCCTCCTCTCCTCTCCACTCCTCTCCTTTTTTCTTTTCTCCTTTCCTCTCCTCTCCACTCCTCTCCTTTTTTCTCCTCTCCTCTCCTCTCGCCTTCCTTCCCCTCCCCTCCCCTCCCCTCCTCTTCTCTTTTTTCTTTTCTTTTCTTTCCATTACAAGGGACTGAATTCAAGGGCTTTGTACCATGCTACACTCCTAGCCCTTTTAATTTATGCTTTTAAAATGGGGGTCTCACTAAGTCACCAAGTTGCCCAGGCTGGGCTTGAACGTGTGATCCTCCTGCCCCAGCCTCTCAGAATGCTGGGATTACATGTGGGAGTCCCCCTGCCTGGCTAAATCCATTTTCAATTTACGATGCTTTCAATGTTTCATACATTCAATGGGACATAGCCCGATGGTACGTTGAGGATCATCGGGTATTTCTACGTTATTGGTCTGGGTAGAGAGAGTCTAGCCAGGGAGGAGGTTAAGAATGTCACAGACTTGCCCGGAAGGCTCTGTGGGCCGGTGGTGAGATTTCGAGGACCAGCCAGCCCACCTCCATTAACTGGTGAGTGTGTCCTGGGGGATGACCCATCACCCTGGCCTCAGGATACAGAATTTTTTTTCCCCCATTTTCCAAAGACAAATAAATTTATTTATTTAATAAAATTTTCAAATGATGTATTTTGATAACTTGTTCAATTTTTTTCAAGCAAAATGAAGCTAAGCACTTACCAGTATTACCAATTATTATAACCGTTAAAGCATCCTGTCTGTATGGTAACCAAGGAACAAACAAAAAAAAAAATGACAAAATTAACACAGCTGAGACGAAAAGTTTTTAGAAAGTAACAAAACAGATGAGTCCTTTCCCTCCCTAACAAATTCAGATCAAAGCTGTCAATTCTGATGGATAGCCAGTTTGCTACTTTTGGTTGAATGTGTCTAGTAAAGTTCTTTATGCTGAATAAGAGCAGTGAAAATGTATCTGAAATCATACCACAGGTAACATTCCCTCTTCTGTTTTTTTAACCTATGGACCTATCAGAACTCAGAGCTTATGCCAAATAAGGTATCAGTTAGAGAATTTGTTCATCTAAGGTTTCCAGGTGACTCCGGGTTACAAGTAGGGAAGGGAGGCTGGGCTCAGGGAAGCCGGGCAGGCCTCCTGGAAAACAAAATCCAGAAGACGGAAAAGGACCTGGCAGAAAGACCTTCCTGAAAGAAGGCTTTATCTACTTAAAACTGCCAACTGCAAATGCTAGCAGTGCTGGTTGTCCTGTTTACATACCACAGATACTGTGAAAAAAATTAACTCAGCGGAATTTTCCCTGAAATAATAACACATACTGGTTGACATGATGACATAACTTTGGAGGAGTTTTAGGATCCTACGTGTCAAGTTCTTGGACCCTATACCATTCTGTGAACGTGGTGCTGCTGACTGTGAAGACAGGAAAATGTCACTGAGAACATGGAATAAAAGTTTTTGTGTCACCAAAGCAAAACACAGCACTCAGTGTTCCTGTATAATTACTGGATAAAAAAAAAATCGGAAAAATCCATCTCGGGGCTAATGAGTCTTAAAAATGGAGACCCAGCCTTTCAATAAAGAGACAGTCTTTGCCTTCCTCCCTCCCTTCAATGCTCAGGATTGAACCCAGGGCCTCACTCATGGAGGCAAGTGCTGTACCATTAAGCCAGGCCTTCTGTGTCATCTCTTTTCTGATTAAAAAAAAGAACAGGTAAGAGGACTTCAGCATCTCGCACTCTTCCAGTTTGTTTGGTTTTTTTTTGGTCTTTTTGAGACAGGGTCTTTGTTATGGTTTGGTTCTGGGTGTTCTCCCAAAGCCTCATGCAGTCATGGGGCGGGCTTCTAGAGGCTTATGTTTGATTCCTAGATGTGAGTGCTACACGCCCTGGGGCGGATAGTTTGCATAGGTAAGGAAGAGAAAGAGGCTGCTTGTGGCCACTCCTCTCTTTTGCTCTTGCTGCTTTTGATATCTTTCGCTGCCATGAACAGTTGCCCTCTGCCATGTGCCACTCTGCCTTGGAGCCAGCTGAGTATGGACTGAAACTTCCACAAACTGTGAGCTAAACAAACCTTTCCTTCCTTAATTTTGAATGGCAGGTATTTTGTCTCAGCAACAAGAGAAAAGTAACCAAAACAGTCTTGCTATGCAGTACAGGATGGCCTGGAGCTCACTTTATAGCCCAGGCTGGCCTTGAACTTGCAAGGATCCTCCTGCCTCAGCCTCCCAAGTGCTGGGATTACAGGTGTGCACCACCACGCCCGGCTACTCTTCTAGTTTTAACACTTCTTCCTCTCAGAGAAAATTTCTTTAAATGTACTGTGTTTCACATGCTATCAACTAAGCACGGACCCTTCCACCGGGGGTGCATTTACTTTTTGTATTTTGACTTTGTTAACTGTTCTGCTGGTTTTGGGAGTGGCTGGGACTCC